CGTAATTGAAATCGAATCGAATTGCAAGCTTGTGAATCGAAATCGAATCGAATTGTGAAATTTGTCTCAATACCCAGCCCTAATTATTATCATAAATATAAAATGTATTGTGTTTTTTTCTGAAACAAAGACTTTCATTCTGAAGCTCCTAAAATCATGATCACATGAAGAACAGAAGGGACATTTCAGTCGCTTGTTTCCTCACACTTTCGACTCAAGTTGATCTAGTTCTGAACTGTGGTTAGAACAGGCTAAACAAGCCAGTTAGCGCTTGACCCTTGACCTCTCTCACCCTCTGTGTCTGTCAGTGTCAGTCTCTTTCGGTTAAAGTTTTAGGGAAATTCCTGATGGTGACGGCGTCCTTAACGCTCTTCTCAATCTCTAAATCTACAAATGAAAGGGATTGTTCACTTCGATGGGAACATGATGTCATTAACTGACCCAGAAACCCTTCAGATAATGCAGGATCAGTGAGATCTATAATCAGTAATTGGCACACAAGCCTATCAAGTGTCTTCGGTCAAACTCAAGTCAATACGGACTACTTTTACTGTACTCGTACAGAGTCAAACTGATGTTTTAGAAAAGAAAAGAACAGCACATGGGTTTAGAGGCTCTAAAGTGAGCGAGTAAATAAAGATTTGTTGTATTTTATGTTGGGTGAACGGTCTTTAAGAATAAAAAAAGACTTTATCCCTGCGCTGATATTTTTCTTAGTCGGTGCGGATGAGTTCACTTTGTCCATCTCATCTATAGAGAAGCGTCAGACCTCCACAGACTTTCACTCTGAACAAAGAACAAGTCTTTGTATTTGTGTGACACTTCAAGCCTCGCAGCGAATCACATTCCTTTGCACTTCTAGTTTAAACATGTAAATGGACTGTATCTGATACACAGGATCAACATCAGCAAACTGCACAGGAATCAACTTCATCTGCTCATTTATCTTCAGATCTCTTTATGAATTTGAATAACATTGACAAAACTTAGTTCATGAGATCAAATTAAACTGGTTTAACACAAATCTAATGGAATTTACAGAATAATCTCAAATATCAGTAATCTCAAATTGTGCGATTCGTTGAGATCAACCCTATGAACGATTACGCCATTCATGGTGAACCGGTCTGCTCGGGTAGGCTAGGTTTTATATAGTCACACTGTGTTGAGGAAGTGCTGTGTCGTCCAGTCGTTCGTCTCGCACTGATAGTTCACACGGTTGTATCCAGTTAAAGTCTTCAGTATAACTGTACACACACACGTCCTCTGTCAGCTCGTGTGTTTCTGTGTCAAATCTGCTCTGATTTATCAAGGAAACGCCAGAATAACTTTGATATTGTTAGTAATATTTCAAGATGAACACTTACTGAAGCAGCTTCACTTATCATCCTTTATTAGAAAAATCATGAATGTCAAATATGACCATCAGGAAGGTGTATTTGTTCATCCCTCAATCATCATTATACGCTTTAAATCTACAAAACTAAGCATTTTAAATATCATCTTACAAAGGCTTATTATTGGCAGATATAGTTATATTTGGTTTTATGTCAGTATCTGCTGTACTGTTATAAAGATCTCATTGATTTGTGTTACAAGTATCTGGGGCTGAACGTTTCCAAAACATCCTAGAACATTTTCAAAGACTCTGGAAAGTTTGCAATCAGACGTACATCTCACTTTTTGTCCAGATAAATCAGGTAAATCAATGTCTGCCCAAAATTGCATGTTTTTGCTCAGTTTGGGCCTCTAAATAAAACTGAGCCGTTTTATCCCCTCTGAATTCTCACTATATGACACATAAAAGCCTGATGTATAACTATGATAACCAAAAAAACACATGCAAATTTTTTTTCGTCTAAAGGGTTCAATAAAGTGCTCCACCGGGAAAAGGAAAAACAGCATTTCTCTGTCAGGACGGGGATACGGGGCTGAAGTAGGAGAAGCCTGCTTTCTACTTTCATCAACAAGTTTGGTTTGTGTCAGCCGGTTAGGATAGACCTCTGCTGTTTAATTTACATGCATTAGATAATTTCTTAGTTTCTCTGATCACTGGACCTATAAGGGCTTGTTCGTGCCAACACAGACTTCTCGAGCACATGCAGCTGATATAACGGTTAAATATATAACTCAACTTAACTATAACAAATAAAGACACGCAAGTTTTGAATAACTTAAAACACAGAATCTAAATGACCCGTTGCGATACTAATATTCACCCGGTTCACAGATGCACAGGATTTGGCAGTATGGCCACTTCTGAGTTATTAACTGATAATCTCCAAATGCCAAAATAGCAGTCAATATACAAGCGTATCAATTACCTCTTTGTATATTCTAAAGTCGTTGCAACATTTTTATTATAAATAAATGATTTCAGCTTGGTCTGGCAGATGGAGCGGGACTGTTGAAGTCGTACTTCCAGATGGAGCAGAATATTAATAAATGGACCTGCTTTTCTAGTCTCACACAAGCTTACAAGGGGCTTTTGCACCGGGTAGTTTTAGGAACTCAGTTATATGAACTCGCCACCAGGGGGATTCCCAGAGAAACAATAGTTTATTTTACAACTTTTTCCTGGTCGCACCTCCAGTATGAACTCGTAAGACACGCTTGTCGTGACTCACATTCTCTGTTCATTAGTTATGATCTGTTTAACAGTCCTGTTTAATACATTATTAGATAGTAGACAGTGATGAAAGGGTATTAGTGTATGCCGTGTGGTTGATGTCTAGTGTCGCTGAGCAGAAATACATAATCATGTTTCTCTCGGTCCCTCAAAGTTGCGTTGGATTTTCTCCTCAGCGTAGAGTTTAAGAGCTCCATCTATCACCATTTTACATGTTCATAGAGTTAGATTCTGGAGTAAATATACAGGCTATAATCTGTGTGTTTACGCGGCTTTATTAAAAACGGCGGGTACTGGTGTTTGACGTGCGTTCGGCCATCAGCGAACACTAACGTCACTGTATTTCCTATAGCGCTGGTTTAGACCGACTCTGAAGAAGGAGTTAATCAGTTCCTCCAAAAGAGTTTCACGAACTAAAATCGTTCCTGAGGAGCGTACATGCCAAAAAACGGGAACTTCCGAAAATAGTCCTAGGTACTATGATGCGCAACACCCATAAAGCCAGTGGTGTATGGTAAAGCGTCTGGTAAAGCGTCTGGTGTATGGTAAAGCATCTGGTAAAACGTCTGGTAAAGCGTCTGGTAAAGAAGCGTCTGGTAAATGGTAAAGCGTCTGGTAAATGGTAAATCGTCTTGTAAAGCGTCAGGTAAAGCGTCTGGTAAAGCGTCTGGTAAAGCGACTGCTAAAGCGTCTGGTAAAGCGACTGCTAAAGCGTCAGGTAAAGCGACTGGTAAAGCGTCAGGTAAAGCGTCTGGTAAAGCGTCTGGTAAAGCGTCAGGTAAAGCGTCTGGTAAAGCGTCTGGTAAAGCGTCTGGTAAAGCGTCAGGTAAAGCGTCTGGTAAAGCGACTGCTAAAGCGTCTGGTAAAGCGACTGCTAAAGCGTCAGGTAAAGCGACTGGTAAAGCGTCAGGTAAAGCGTCTGGTAAAGCGTCTGGTAAAGCGTCAGGTAAAGCGTCTGGTAAAGCGTCTGGTAAAGCGTCTGGTAAAGCGTCTGGTAAAGCGTCAGGTAAAGCGACTGGTAAAGCGTCTGGTAAAGCGTCAGGTAAAGCGTCTGGTAAAGCGACTGCTAAAGCGTCAGGTAAAGCGACTGGTAAAGCGTCAGGTAAAGCGACTGGTAAAGCGTCAGGTAAAGCGTCTGGTAAAGCGACTGCTAAAGCGTCAGGTAAAGCGACTGGTAAAGCGTCAGGTAAATCGTCTTGTAAAGCGTCTTGTAAAGCGTCAGGTAAAGCGACTGGTAAAGCGTCAGGTAAAGCGTCTGGTAAAGCGTCTGGTAAAGCGTCAGGTAAAGCGTCTGGTAAAGCGACTGCTAAAGCGTCAGGTAAAGCGACTGGTAAAGCGACTGCTAAAGCGTCTGGTAAAGCGACTGCTAAAGCGTCAGGTAAAGTGTCTGGTAAAGCATCAGGTAAAGCGTCAGGTAAAGCGTCTGGTAAAGCGTCTGCTAAAGCGTCTGGTAAAGCATCCAGGTAAAGCGTCAGGTAAAGCGTCTGGTAAAGCGTCTGGTAAAGCATCCAGGTAAAGCGTCTGGTAAAGCGTCCAGGTAAAGCGTCTGGTAAAGCGTCAGGTAAAGCGTCTGGTAAAGCGTCTGGTAAAGCATCCAGGTAAAGCGTCTGGTAAAGCGTCCAGGTAAAGCGTCTGGTAAAGCGTCAGGTAAAGCGTCTGGTAAAGCGTCTGGTAAAGCGTCCAGGTAAAGCGTCAGGTAAAGCGTCTGGTAAAGCGTCTGGTAAAGCATCCAGGTAAAGCGTCTGGTAAAGCGTCCAGGTAAAGCATCCAGGTAAAGCGTCAGGTAAAGCGTCTGGTAAAGCGTCTGGTAAAGCATCCAGGTAAAGCGTCTGGTAAAGCGTCCAGGTAAAGCGTCTGGTAAAGCGTCAGGTAAAGCGTCTGGTAAAGCGTCCAGGTAAAGCATCCAGGTAAAGCGTCAGGTAAAGCGTCTGGTAAAGCGTCTGGTAAAGCATCCAGGTAAAGCGTCTGGTAAAGCGTCCAGGTAAAGCGTCTGGTAAAGCGTCAGGTAAAGCGTCTGGTAAAGCGTCTGGTAAAGCGTCCAGGTAAAGCGTCTGGTAAAGCGTCAGGTAAAGCGTCTGGTAAAGCGTCTGGTAAAGCATCCAGGTAAAGCGTCTGGTAAAGCGTCCAGGTAAAGCGTCTGGTAAAGCGTCAGGTAAAGCGTCTGGTAAACTGTCTGGTAAAGCGTCTGGTAAAGCGTCTGGTAAAGCGTCAGGTAAAGCGACTGCTAAAGCGTCATGTAAAGCGTCTGGTAAAGCGTCTGGTAAATGGTAAATCGTCTTGTAAAGAGTCTTGTAAAGCGTCTGGTAAAGCGTCTGCTAAAGCGTCTGGTAAAGCGTCTGGTAAACTGTCTGGTAAAGCGTCTGCCACTCACCCTTGAGCTCCACATCGGCATGGTAGTTCCCGCTGATGACGGAGTCTGTGCTCGGGGTGCTGCAGCGATACACACCGCTGTCTGTCGCTCGCACCTTCTTGAACCTGAGCTCCACTGAATTATCGGCCAGCATCTCATAACTGATGTCCCCGCTGTTGACCCGGTCCCTCACTGAGGAGTCTATGAAGGATTCGTCGAGGGTGGAGATGAGATTGAGTAATTTACCACCGGCCTGGAGCATGGACCAATCGAAATCCTGCTGCCGGGGCCCCTCGTAGTTGGACACGTTGCAGCGGATGGAGACGGCCTGTCCCTCAACATGCACCAGAGGACCCACTGGCACCTCCACCACACGGCCCTCGCTGAACAACACTGAGACGAGAAGACACGAGAAATCAGATATGGACAACTACAGTATCAGTGTGCATCTACACATTATAGAATACAAGTAAAGTCATCAAAACTATGGCAAATGCAAGTGATCACAAAAATACAGTCACCACCCACGCAAAGCATCCTGGGATACTTATAAACAATACTGTTTGACAGACACTTTGCTTGTTTTTTCTCTTCACTCTTCGTTTTTCCAAAAGAAAGAAACAGATTACATAATCGGACTAGATCAGGTAATCCAAACTTGGTTTTGACCCGGATCAAACCTTTAGTTTGGGGTTTTCAGGACTTTTGTGTAGGATTTGGATCACTCTGATCCAAAAAATCTGGATTAAACTGATCCCATCAGAAGGGTGGATTCGGCGTGGATTTCATGCCCAAAATGTGATGAAAACTTTAAAAATGTATCAAAAAATACTATATTTGGATCATGCACTATCTTACAAGATCTCCTATTTATTCATAAGTTTTTATTTTATTTGTTCATCCGTCAGGCTACAGTGATTAGGTAGGCAGCAAAGTAGAAAGAGTTTGGAAATAAAATAAAATAATACCCCAAACAGCTGTAAAAAATGACCAAAACGTCATATATATATATATATATATATATATATATATATATATATATATATATTCATCACAATCGAAAATATGTTTGTTTTTAGAATATTTTTTAGTGATGCATGCAATGATTTGTCCACATCAGATGAGGAAGTCTGAAATTATTGTGGAGTATTTGACATTACGTTTTTTTTTTTTTATTATTCAATACATCTATATTTGAAACTTATAAATATCCTCAATGTACAGAGTTTATTACTCATTTTGTCTACCTGTTACTCTTTATATATCTATAGTTCTACATTGTGATTTCCTATCCTGTTTGAGCACTGCTTAACCAGATTTGGTGATCCTGAAAAATTCCTATCCAGATCAGATTGATCCAATCCAACGTTGCTTTGAAAAAGGACTGGCGACTGGCTCAAAAGTAAACTGGATTACATGATCACGGATCACGAAAAAGGATTACTAAATCAATCCGGATCAATTTTATCCGGATTAAACCTTTTGAAAAAAACAGGTCCAGGGGTTGAAGTCATAAAAACCAAATTCAATCACGTTTGTCCAAACCATGGCACTCAATACACTAAGCAACCATGAAGACAGAAAGTGTGATGTCAGAGGAAATGATCAATCCCGAGTACAGGATGAGTCATCAATATTTCTACTCCGTTTTCCATAAGACAAAATTGTCCATTTTCAAGGCGTTCATCTGTAAACTTCAAAGAGACGCGTCTGTTCATGGAAATGTTTATTGCAAATGACCATATTAGGTTCAAAGCACTGGAATAAAAACATGCAGTCGGAACTAATGGTGAATATTAACATTTTATTTGGTTTGGGAATTAAGTGCCGCGAGGCGAATTACATCAGCAGACGAACACAAACCCACAGACGAACCAGAAGAAGAGAGGAACAGAGGGAGAGAAACCAAAACTGAGAGAAGACGACATGTAACAACTCGTTTCCTCATGAGGGATCGGTTGTTCTCGTAAGGTGGAGGACTCGGAAGACAAACACTGTAGACACTAGAGAAATATATGGTACAATAAAACCTGCTGTCAGGCAACTGAGGTCAAACACTACTACAGTACTTACACCAGGACACAGTGAAAGTAGATATGAGCGGATTATGAATGATGAAGAGGGAATGAGCCAGATCAGACAACACAAATTATCGGCACAGATCTGAATTCAGAAAAACTTTACAGTCCTTTAGCACAAATTCATGTCAGGTTGTAGAAGATTCCCTCATCCCCAAATCAAGCACAAACCAAATATTCAACAATGAAGGACTACATGTAGTCTATTTGTCAATGTAAACTTAAATATTATTCTATCTGAGACCAATGTTTATGCAGGCTACATTTGGAAACGAATTATTCAATAAATAAACACCTTTTGTGAATTATTGTGTCGAGAGCAAGAAAATTGACATTTAAGAAATACTTTGAAGCTATATTGTTGGACTCATACGGTTTACAACCGCGGTCAAGCCAGCCGCAGTTTGAAAATACACGGTCAAGCCAGCCGCTAAAAAAATAAGCATGTGCGCCTATTACTATGAATACGGTAATTTCAGTCCCAGCAGAGGAAGAACGCGCTTCAGAGCGCTTGAGTTGCCCAGATTGATATATCTTTCTCTCTTTCTTTCTTTATCTTTCTTTTTCTCTTTCTTTATCTTTCTTTCTTTATCTATCTATCTATCTATCTATCTATCTATCTATCTATCTATCTATCTATCTATCTATCTATCTATCTATCTATCTATCTATTAGGGGTGGAGCCGAATCCGAATACGGTATTCGGAAAGGTACAAATAATGTGTTTTTTACGAATACTTATTCCGAACAAATACTTAAAAACATATTTGTATTCGGGAACAAGAAATACTTATATCAAAAAGCTGCGTTCCTCACGAGACCGCAGTGCGCGAGTTGACTGAGTGACGTTCAGGAAGAGTTTACTGACACAGGCTGCTCCACACAGCAACAGAGAGGGCTCGGCTGAGCGAAAAAAACACTTAACTGCATCGCTATTTTTGTTTAATAGATGTTTGTACCTTAACTATGTTCCGGTGGCAGTTTATAACTTTCGGGAAGCGGAGTTTGATCGGGAGTATATTATTGACGTCTGCAGACGGGTTCTCTCCTGTTAGCTCGGTAACGGTAATTATTTGTTTCATGGCTTGATTGAATTCTAATATAGAATGCGGTCTGTTATTATATCAGGCCGCTGCTTATAAGTATAACACACCGTTGCTATGAAAAACAGAGCGTTGCCATGGATTCTAAACGTAGAGACAGAACGGACTATTTTTATTTTTTTAGCGGGAGCGATACAATCGTTTTTTAAATCAATAAACTCCTTTTTATATCCATATTTTGAGTCAAATTATTGATTTATTTGGTAGGTAGTCATGTAATAAGCGGGGTAATGTAGAGCGAGGCGTAGTTATAGCGAAAACCCTTCAGGCTTCGCGTCGGGCTCATAATCAACCTCCTCGCTATAAATTATCCATATAACTTATTCTGTCTGCACAGCGTCCTCCACCGTGGTGTTGGGGTTCATAATGTTCACAATTTTATTTCATTAGTTGTTGGTTTAACCATGGTTCATGAGGCAATGGCTGGCTGTTATTTTCTTTTCAATTACTTTTCTTGTTACATGTTCATTGCTGGATTTATAGAAAAACATCAACCAATATTGCATATCCATAATTATTATAATGGATATAATTAAAGAATCCATACACTATAAAGTATTTTTAAAGATTTTTATGCCTATTTTGAATTTTACTCGAATACAAATACAAATACTTTTCCTCCCCGAACAAATACAAATACAAATACAAATACAAATAGCGGCTGCTTTGCACACCCCTACTATCTATCTATCTATCTATCTATCTATCTATCTATCTATCTATCTATCTATCTATCTATCTATCTATCTATCTATCTATCTATCTATCTATCTATCTATCTATCTATCTATCTATCTATCTTTTTCTTTATTTCTATCTATATATTCATAACCTTTCTTTTTCTTTCTTTCTTTCTTTCTTTCTTTCTTTCTTTCTTTCTTTCTTTCTTTCTTTCTATCTATCTTTTTCTCATTCTTTATCTTTCTTTCTTTCTTTCTTTCTTTCTATCTATCTATCTGTTTGTCTGTTACAAAAAAAAATTGTAATAAGAAAAAACTAATGGCCAATTCTTATAGGTGACGTCCCATATAGTATCTCCTCATATCAAACAATCTTATTGTAGCATTGTGGAGAAATGTCCCATTATTCAACTTCAGAGGGCCATAAATAGCTTATTTCTAATAAGTAGAAAAAATAACTGTCAGTTCTTGTAGGGGACATCCCATACAGTATATACACCTCATATCAAACAATTTTACTGCAGCATTTTGGAGTAATGTTACATTATTTGACTTCAGAGGGCCATTATACCTCTTTTCTAATAAGTAGAAAAAAATAACGGTCAGTTCTTATATGGGACGTCCCATACAGTATACGCACCTCGTATCAAACCATTTTACTGTAGCTTTTTTGAGAAATGTCCCATTATTCTACTTCAGAGGTCCATAAATACCTCATTTCTCATAAATAGAAAAAAAATAATGGCCAATTATTATAGGGCACGTCCCATACAGTACCTCGTATCAAACCATTTTACTGTAGCATTTTGGAGAAAGGTCACATTATTTGACTTCAGAGGGCTATAAATACCTCTTTTCTAATAAGTAGAAAAAACTAATGGCCAATTCTTATACGGGACATCCCATACAGTATCACCTCATATCAAACAATCTTATTGTAGCATTTTGGAGAAATGTCCAATTATTCGACTTCAGAGGCCCATAAATACCTCATTTCTAATAAGTAGAAAAAACTAATGGCCAATTCTTATACGGGACGTCCCATACAGTATACGCACCTCGTATCAAACCATTTTACTGTAGCTTTTTTGAGAAATGTCCCATTATTCTACTTCAGAGGTCCATAAATACCTCATTTCTCATAAATAGAAAAAAAATAATGGCCAATTATTATAGGGCACGTCCCATACAGTACCTCGTATCAAACCATTTTACTGTAGCATTTTGGAGAAAGGTCACATTATTTGACTTCAGAGGGCTATAAATACCTCTTTTCTAATAAGTAGAAAAAACTAATGGCCAATTCTTATACGGGACATCCCATACAGTATCACCTCATATCAAACAATCTTATTGTAGCATTTTGGAGAAATGTCCAATTATTCGACTTCAGAGGCCCATAAATACCTCATTTCTAATAAGTAGAAAAAACTAATGGCCAATTCTTATACGGGACGTCCCACACAGTACACACACCTCATAACAATCCATTTTACTGTAGCATTTTTGAGAAATGTCCCATTATTCTACTT